ATTGAAAACGGTTCACGGAAGAAATTCACTCCTTTTCAACTGTCACACACAGGAAACGGACAGAATTTTCCGCGAGAAAACGTAAGCAAGCGTAAGTGCCCGGTTACGTTAATCGATTCGTGACAATTTCGTACGTCAGAGAGAAGAAAAAGGAGGTGCGAAAGCAGCAGTCGGCGAAAGTTTTCTTTGACAAGACTGTATTATTTAAACTTTCCATCTTGGTTCTGCAAACTTTCCACCTTCGTTGTTTCTACTCTCCTCTCGTTTCACTCCTTTCCCTTTTGCCCTCTCAACTATCATCGTCCACCACTCAACTTTTGACCTCGTACCACATTTTCTCGCGTTACTCCTTTCTTGATACTATCTCTTCATTATTCTTCCCTAGATCTGAACTTCACGCCGACTAGACGAGTTTAACAGTTAATCAGCGCTGGCAAGGTGCAAGCTTCGTATTTCTTTCGTTGAAATTTCACAGAGGATTTTAATAATTCTCCGTGAACCATTCGTCCTTTCACGCGTCGAGTTTCATTTTTTTTTTAACTACTATCTATATATCAAAGTTTCATCAAAATCGGCGATTACACCCCTCGTGCGTGTATTAACTCACGCTGACTCACGTTGAAAAGTATTTAACGTTAAAAAACACTATGCAGAATACTGCAATTGCGCATTGTGCAACGTAGAACGAAGATTTATCCTATAAAAATAGTATTATACGGAATTAGGTAAAAGTGTAAAATATAGGTTCGATTGGATTACGTTATTAACCGAAACAAGTAGCCGAGCATTATTCCTGAATTTATCGACGATTATTTCGTTCTGTTTCCAATTTAGGCTATCTAGGACACGGGAAATTTAGTTGGCTCCGTGTAAAACTTATTCCAGCCAGTGTGTGGTGTCGCTCGTAAATACACTTTGTATCTGTAGGAGGTGGTCACCGTGGCTGGCTGGATTTATCGTGAATTTTCGAGTCTATGTATCGTGAATTATCGTCTACCGCGGACGCAATCGTTCTTGCGGACGAGATCGCCGCAATATCCGCTGGATCCACATCCATACTCGTCAGCGTTCGTATTAGAGTCCCAATTAGCAATTAATTATGGTCTAATTGCTATTGCTCGCTTTATTAAACGCGTATTTTCCAACCTATCGGGACGATTGAATTTTCTGCAAAGTAGGTAATACAATAATCCGACAAACGTCATGAAAACAATTAATTTCCCCGTTTCGTTCTCCTCTTTCTGCTATGTACTTGTCAAATTTCGTCTTTTTCCGGGGCATCCATTACGGTAGTCCATGATTTAAGGTAATTGGAACTGAGCGTGTTTCAATTTGTGAAACAATTCTTTATTCGATGTAGCGTGATCATCGAATGGTAAAATAATTTTCAATAGGTTTCTTTTACGTTCACACTCGATCAATTTGTTTTATACGTTTAACAAAGAAGGATTAAGCGAAATTGATTTGAACACATTCGTCGTGAAAATATCGGTAGCTCTATAATAAATGTATACACAAGAATTAAACAGCCTTTCGTTGTGTATAATCGATACAAACTTCAATTAAACGTGCATCCAATAACATTGTTTTAGCTCAAACGTCGATAAATTTGTTGTATTTTATCTCGTCGCATAATTTACCATATCATTGAAAAATAAAGTCCAATTTCAACGCTATATATTTCACACAAAATTCTATTTAATAATTCTAGAAAAAAAAAAGTTCGCAAAATTCAGACTTCACTTGGAATCAAATCGCTAAAGATATAAAACAAATACGAAGTGCACATTTCCTTCAGAGGCGAATGTTCAATATGCAAAGGAATTAAGATGCTTGATCAAGATTAAAGTCAATGACCATGTGGCTTCCGAAGCTTTGTTCAGGCAGATTGCGTGCCATGTCGTCGTGAATTAACATTCCACGATATCATTCACAAAACAGATTACTCACACTTAAGTTCACGTGTGATAGGTATCGTCCTATTAGGGATGGCATCTTTTCTCTGACCTTTACAAATTTCACCATTTCTAAGATAAGCCTTGCTTTAATTCAAACGCCCTATATTCCAGGGTGGACAACGTAACTTCGTCACCTTTACTATTTCCACTATTACTGCCACCAATACGAATTCTTTCCCCTTTAAGTACCTCGATTTAAATGGACCTACAAACTAATCGAAGTACATACTTCCTGTATCATTTTTGTCAAAGTTATCAAGTTCACCTTTAGTTTTTTAAATGGGACAAACATCGATGTAACTGATAACAGAGTGAACGATTTGCTCGGTTTGGCTGTTGGAAAAATTTTTCGCGAGAAAAACTTTCGCCTCGTACGAGTGCACAATACTGGCGATAACGGTGCACGATCTGGGATAATCTCAAATAATAGGATGATCTTAAGCATCTTTCCTGTCAGCCAATAACACTGTTCGATGAGATTAAAACGTAAAATCGATGTCCTTTGCAGATATATTGTAATCAACCTAACTAGCTGTTAAAACGTTGCGCTACATTAATCACTGAGAATAGATAGCGAAATAGATCAAGCACCACAATGAGTTTGCGAAAGTCTTTTTTCATTGGCAAGAATCTTTTTGGTTTTTTAATTACAGCTAGCCGAGGCGAAAACGATTAACCAGAAAGGAAAGCTGCGGGCAACGTTTTTGCTGGTTGTTTTCCATCGAAAGAAGACTGCTCAAGGCTCCACTTGAGATGGCGAAAAATCTTTTAAGGAACAACGAATATGGGTCATCGCGTATATACTCGGTTTTCGTATTTCACATACTTTTTGGCATTTAGTCTGAGAACAAGAATACGACCTTACCGTATGAAAATGTGGTTGCATGTATTATACATGGAGTATTAAACGCGATTACTCGGAGTGCAACAAATAGCGCGATTATTTAACAAGCCTGTCCGATGTTGCACAGAGAAATGCTTCGTACTGCAAATGTTCCTGCATTCTTTTGAAATATTTTCATGTCTAATCTTAACTACACGCCGTGTGTTAGCCATGAAAGCGTACTTGTTTTTTTTTTTGCAAGGACATTTTACATTTGTTCGTTTTAAAATTCGCGTTTCGTGCTGTTTTTGGAGACGTTATTCGAGCAATTAATCTTTCGAGTCTGTAACGCTGAAACGTTCTCAGCATTGAATTTCATCGGTTGGATTGTGCAATCGTAGGGTAGCCTACATGCCACAGTAGAATAATTCAAACTGAAAGACAGATACGTTACGAAGTACTTTCCAGAGGATTGTTTTGCCTTGAGCAGAATAGCGTATTGCGACTTTTTTCCCCCGGTATTCTTATCGGTACTTTCTGCGAACTTCCATGCGAGAGCTTGCATTTATATCCTCTCAGTGACAGTGTTCCGAGCTTTTGCCCAGAGGCATTTTTCGTATATTACATATTAATCGTAGAAAGTACGAGACCGACCATTAGGCAGAAAATAAATATTTTGCGGTCCATTTCAGACATTTTCGATTTGGTATAAATTTTTTTTTGAAGTACACTTACTCTTTGGAAATTGCTTGCCACGTATTAGAGTCAGAAGTAACTAATAGGCAATTAGGGATATATTCTTTTACGATCAAACTAATTCTATATGAGGAAGCAGTAAATTGCTATCATAACGAAGTGACCACGTTAAATGTAGGCAAAGAATGATTGTCATAAAATCAGTCTGTACTAGTGAAAAATTAATAAGAAGTGTCTCGAGTAGTCCTACACTTTTTACCAAAATTTTTACAAAAATAATGGATCAGGCTAGCTGATCTAACCTAATCTTGAGAATCTTCAGAAAGTTAACCGTTCGAAAATTAAATATCAAAAAATAGCATAGAATTCTTTTTTTAAATTATACCTGTGTCGAAAAGAAACGAACGAATAATTACTACCGCTCGAAGCACGAATTTAAATTTGTATGCTGAAGTTATTACGCAAGTAAATATTGGCCAAATAAATTACGCGTATTAAATCCAGAATACCGTACAGATAGAGAACGATTTAGATACAGAAACACTTGGAAAGTTTTAATGATTATGAATACAGCGATCACCGGCGCAAGTAATATAACAATGTTCGTTAGTATTGTACGTAAAGTTTTGTTGGAACGAAACATGGATGTCTGTTCCCTTTTGGCATTATCGTATCGTTCTTGTTTGTACTTTCTAGCAGATTTTAGTTTCACGGAGGTTGAGCAAACAAGTTTCTGCTTTAATTATTTTTCGGGTTTTACTGTTTTCGAACCGTTTTACTCGAGTTAACCGAATCGACCATTCCAACCAAAGTTGTTTATTTCGATGACATTATTAGCTTTACTTTCCTCGGATACAATTTATTTTCCCTACTTGAGAGTGAAACATTTCCAACAAAATTTCGTTACAAATACGACTTTTTACTCGTTTTTATCTGCTGTCGTTTGAAGTTGAAATTTAGTGGCTTATTTCTAGAAAAACGATAAAAAATAGTATAAGTTGTACGACTAGAAATTTTGCAAGCGTGACATAAAGGTGCCTCGAAAGAACAGGACTATGAGAAATTTCACGAGCGCGTAAAGCTTTAACAGATATTTTATTTCCTCCCTGGGAAAACTGCTCCAAGTATTGATACCAACTCCTAACTGTCAAGGAAACAAAGCAAAGCGAAGTCAAGTTGCGGTAAAACTTGTTGGAAACACAATGACTATACACATATCTCGGCGTCAGCGTACGTACGAATGTCTGCTGAAAAATACAGCTTTACGAAGGCGACAACTCGTGACAAACGTCTTTATATCTTCGAGTGGCTTTAGAATCTTCGTAACAGTTTTTTACAATTTCTCTGTTTACCTAACAACTTTCGATCACGATCTCAGAATTACCAGTCATCGAGCTATACGACCCTTTCCTTCGCGAATTGTCATTTTTCGAACCTCGATCGCGCGGGAATTTTCTACGAATTTCCCGTAATTTGGAGCGTAAACTTGGATAATAATGATTTACAGAGAAACAATCACTTACCAGCGTCTCTTGCTCTTTTGCACGCCTGGTACATGTCCTCTCTGATCTCTGGATTTCCATCTGCGATGGTTTCGCCAACAGTGACGAACCTCTCGACGGCCAGATTCACGGCTTGCCCGACTCTGGCAACAGCACGGAGAGCACTTCTGTCCGAACATAGTGGACGTTCTCTGTGCGATACTAACGTGGAGATCTGAAATAACGGAGAAAAGTGAATTGCAAAATTGGACGACGATAATGTTGCTGTGAAATGGACAATTCAACGAACATTCAACCCTTTGACAGTCTAATGTAATTACGAATTAGAGTAGAATTCATATTTTACGCGTGTCTTTTTGATAATCACGTCGTGTGTGATTATTTTTAAAGCACAGTGATCTGATAACAATATCTCGTCTCTTTCTAACTTTCTTCCTCAAAGTCTCTCTTGAGTTAAACTGTTGGTTATTTAATATTAGGGATAAACTGTCGAAGGGTTAAGATTTACGCCTGAATATTCGAAGACGAACATTCTGACTAATATTCCGGATCTCTATAAATATCTAATTAACGACTCTGTATGGATATTTGAATTTTATAATTTTTAGAGTGATAACTAGACTGCGGATTCTCGTGCATTTATAGGAAATTTGAAGATGCAAAATTGCACAGAATGCACGTAATATGGAAAAATATACAAATTACAGTGCTTTTTATAATACCTGGCACGTGAAATAATTTTCTACCGAAGTTCTACTTTCTTTACTGTATTCCCAAAACTATAAATTTGCATAAAAATCCGCAGTCTAGTAATAACTCGGTGTAAAGTAGTAATTGTTTCACAGCAGAAATATTTCATGAGACAAAGTTAGGTAAACACTCGGTATATTGAAGAATAGTTACTTCTCCGCATTGAAAGTTTATTAATCAGCGAAAGCAAGTTAATCCATCATTTCGAGATGTCTCATAACTTTTTTTTTTCAAGTAAATTGATTGTTCGCCGGTGAATTTGTCAGTGTTTAATTTTGTCGTTATGTTTGCACTAGAAAGCGTAAGTACGACCGCGTAGTTATTTTTTATTTGATAATACTCGGACAACGAGCGCTTCTATCTAGCCAAATGTGCTGGTTAACAAGTTGATACTTTCGCTAAAGTAAAACTGCTTCTCGTACGTGGTAACTTTTTGAATTTGTTAAAGCTAGATAATGAAGTGACTATTGGAACTTTTAGAGCTGTGACGATAAAAAGTAAAAAAAAAAAAAAATATTACGCTCAACTGACTCGCGCTAACGTGAACAAAATTAGGATATACATTTGCCTGGCAAAATTCCAGGTTACGATTCTAGCTGCGAATGAAACAGCCATTTAAAAAGCAATTACTAGTCATGCAGATTAACTTCGGTATATTGGTTGAATTCCCAGGAATATAATATGTATATACGTATATAGATTCATATATCACACACGAAGCCCTACATATTTCACCGGAACGAATGAAGTTTGCAGTTAATTCCGCGCTAAGAACTATTTAACGATCATTTTGCGGGACTTAATAGAAACTTTTGCACGTATGCACACTCGTACAAAAGAACGAAGACAAAACAAAATCCTTCGTAATCCCCCTTAATTTCCATTCTTTTATTATACTCATACTTCTACTATAGTGCCGGTGTATTTATCTCTTGGTTTGTATACACTCATGCTACTGTGTTTTATACAGATTCATTATGATCCTGTATGTGAAAATTAACCGAAAATAAAGGATAATATTTTTCTACGGAAAGGTTAGTTTTTGAAAGAATTTAATTTAAAGATTCCCCATGAACTTTTCCCTCGAAAAAAGAGTCTGCGAATTTTTCGAAATCTTGGAATTTCTCGAAACATTGGAATTTCGGAAATCTTCGAAATTTTCGGAATTAGTTCGAAATTACGAATCTTCGAATTCGATCCCTTTCGAAAAATAAAAATCTCGAATACCACAGAGTGTGCGATAGCAAGACGGGTAGCTCATTATTAACCGAGTTCAAACTAGGTTTAATTAATCTTGCACCTCGGCGTGCGTTCACTTGAAAAACAAACCTGTCTACGATATATGTATATACATATATACATATGCACGTAAAGCTTCCCTCCGTTTGTAATAGAAAGCATCCACGCTCAGATTGTTTTGTCTGCTGGCTAACGACCAGACAGATCTTCTTTCTCTCTCCCTTCGCCCTTGTATCCTCCTCGTAAATGGCGAACGTGTATTCAAGAAAGCTGCACGAGAGTAACCCCGTTAGCTGGCCCGTAGCTGCAGGCTTCGCGAGAGGCTGCGCGCGTCTATATACCTCATTTTGTACACAATTAGACAATGCATTTAGCCAGGCGTTCCCTTTAAACGATTCTGCGAGCCCTGCAGTCGGGGACAGGTAGACAAATGCGAGAGAGAAAAAAAAAATACGGCTTCGAGAATAGAGAGGCAGTTTCCAGGCTGAAGAGAGATCAGGCCTCGCGCAGAAGTAGTAAGAAGTAGAGGGAAGGACAGAGAAAGAGAGGGAGACAAAAGGAACGAGGGTGAAAACCATGTTGAAAAATCTAAAGAAATATAACTAAAGAAATAAGGCATAAGAAAGTGGAGGAAAACTAGGACAGCCGAATGCTCGAGGAGCGCAGAGGTTTCGCGAACAGTCGTGAATAAAGGAGTAAAGCGAACATAGTAGAGTAGATAAGGATGGTCAAAGAAAGAGGAAAAAAAGAAGAAGATGGACCGACCAAAGACCGTACCTATTTGCATGCATGGTAAAGGGTTGCGGAGATAGGAGGAAGAGTAGGAGGAGAAGAACAGCAGCCAGCAGTAGTAGAAGAAGAAATGGAAGAGAAATTGACAGAGAGAAAAGGGGAGAGCAGGGAATATCGGGAAAGGGACGAACCCGGAGGTATTGTTTCACGACATGAATGCGTACAATCGAATGAACACACAGGTGGAAGTAAACGGACGCGCGGCAACCAATACTAACCCGATCTCTACATATACATAACGGTTCGGTTCACGGTTCGCGGGCTTCTACGTTCCAGCATTGTCAAATGTCGCGTGTCGAGACAGGTGCAACCAAGTTACATGGTTCCCCTCTTCGCCTCTGCATTGTGGATGCTGCGTTTTTTTCGTTTCAGCCCAGCCGACTTATCCCCCTATCTGTCGAGCACGTGAAAAATTTTAATATCGCCGCGGGAGTCTACCCAAACAATGACAATTCTTCACTGAGATTCCAAACGAGGATGAGAGAGGGAGAGAGAGAGAGAGAGAGAGAGGAAAAAGAACACACACAGCCAGACGCAGTTCTCGGTCGCGTTTTCCCCTAGCATCACGTTTAGAGCTTCGACATAAACGGCCCTTCGCGACAGATGTTTCACCGCAATTGCTGGCAGAAGCAGCATCCAGCCAAGGGAAAAGGACACCTCTCTCTCTTCTCGTGCAACGACGAGTTGTGAATTCTCTTATCTCGATCGGTGCCTTTTTTCCCCCCCACTCGATACCTACGTGTCCCCGATGCGATCGCAACCGAGTCTTCCGGGGAATATTTTGCGACGGAAGTTTTAAAACGTGTGTCAACAGTGATATTTTCTCCGGAGGAAATCGTTGATATCTGTGGGAACTGTTGATCGTCGCCGGTGTCATTTTCTCTTCTATATTCGAACGATGAATACGAGTTTTCTTTTGTTCTTTTATATTGATAGAAAGTTAACGTGGGTTCTTCTGCATTTGAATGATACCTGAACCTGTAATTGCGATTTAAATATACGACGAACGTGGATTCGTTGAAGAAATTTGCGTAAATTGCGAGGATCGACGAAATTGCGATGGATTTATCGAAATATGGATAACAATTTCTGCCTCGAACGAGGAAATTTCAGAATTACTGTAATGGAATATAAATATTTAATAAAACTCGGTATACCCTTTCACGCTGGATTAAATTCAGAAATTTAAAAGCTTTTTAATGCCATCGCATTTTTGGGATAAATGAATTAGTGTTATTAAAAAAGTAATTTCTATTCTGCAAGTGAATAACGTAACTGAATAAAAATTGACAAGGAGGTTGAATAAATAAATCTATAATTTACAACGAGTATCGAGAAAATAGTCTGACGTTGCATTGAAAAAAATTCAAATTCAAAACGTGAAAGATATCAAAATGTGGAGCGTGTGCTTTAATACTGCCCTAATGCTCCTAGTTTCGCATTCTACGGGAATTTCCAATGCTTAAAATTCTGCGAATGCTTTGGCCAAATCGATCGCGTATCAGGAATTAGTTAAATCGATATCCGCATTCGCTCTTTATCAAATTGAAAGATCACGATGAACATACGAAACTAGCTCTCCGATAAAATGACTCTAATCATTCAAAAGCGCTAATATCAACACAATGCACTTTATCAGATATACCGAAAGCTAGCGCAAATCTGATTATATTTGGTCGATTTATTAAATGATAACTAAAATTATTTTCCTTCATTTTCCATATTGCCTTATCCTTTCTATATACTCGATGAAACTTATTTCGATACTACGTAAAAACTAATTAAAAGAAAGACAAAATTGACTCGAATTGGCACATAAAGTTGAGAAAAATTGGAGCTTTAAGGGGATTAAACGTAAATTTCTTCTCTCGATTATGCCCTAAGAACGTAAATTCCATCTTTCGTTCATTCCCAGAAGTTTCTCAATGTTTTTAAAGCTCGACCGCCGCGTTAATCTGGATCGAATGGTTATCGAAAAAAATAAGCCGAACTAGTTGGGGTGAAAATCAAATCAGACGAAAAAAATATTCCGGAATTTAATATATCACGTTGTGAACGGAGTGACATTGGAGAATCGAATAGATAAATTTTTGTCCCGGAAATATCGCGCTCCCGATAACTTCTAATCTCTCTCGCGCCTTCTGACATTGTGACGAAAAGTTTGCGTCCCCGTTAGTTCGCATAGTCGAAGAGGACCTCGTAAATTCATTAGTTTAATATAAGGAGGTCATACATCCTGCGGCAGTAGACAGAACAAATTTCTCGCATATGTTCGTCCTTCTTGCCACCCGAAAGTTATTACACTGCGTTGTGCAAACCGCACGCAGTTTCTTTACTTCGGCACGAAAATTCCTGGCGGCTTTCGAGCAATTTAGTCATTATGAAATTAATCCTTGAGTAACCTCGTAAGTTAAGTGTACTCGCTGCGCGATG